CAACCTACTAGCGATGGCCTCCAACCTACTATATGGCGATGGCCTCCAACCTACTATATGGCGATGGCCTCCAACCTACTGGCGATGGCCTCCAACCTACTAGCGATGGCCTCCAACCTACTAGCAATGGCCTCCAACCTAGAAGGGCTGGCCTCCAACCTACTAGCGATGGCCTCCAGCCTACTAGCGATGGCCTCCAACCTGCTAGCGATGGCCTCCAACCTACTAGCAATGGCCTTCAACCTACTAGCGATGGCCTCCAACCTACTAGCAATGGCCTCCAACCTACTAGCGATGGCCTTCAACCTACTAGCGATGGCCTCCAACCTCCTATAGCAATGGCTTCCAACCTACTATGGCCTTCAACCTACTAGCGCCCCCAACCTACTAGCAATGGCCTTGGCCTCCAACCTACTAGCAATGGCCTTCAACCTACTAGCGATGGCCTCCAACCTGCTAGCGATGGCCTCCAACCTGCTAGCGATGGCCCCCAACCTACTAGCAATGGCCTTCAACCTACTAGCGATGGCCTTCAACCTACTAGCGATGGCCTCCAACCTCCTATAGCAATGGCCTCCAACCTACTAGCGGTGGCCTTCAACCTACTAGCAATGGCCTCCAACCTACTCGCAATGGCCTTCAACCTACTACTAGGTGGCTGTGGCTTTTTGTTGAAGATATAACTTAGGTTATAAGTTCTTTAACGTATGTTATAAACTATATAAGTATTTTAAGTATTCGCCTCTACTTAGAACTAATTTGGTGATCTTATAACTAACTTATTGGATTTATGCTTTCTACTTAGTTCCTACTTAAGGTTAACTTAGGTTCGACTTAGGTTGAACTTAAGACCCATGTTTTTTTTGCACTATTTGACGTGATTATGTTTTGTAATTTGTGGCCCAAGGGACCCGTTGCACGCCTATATATGAACGGCGAAAGGTGAGATAGGGTTTGTCCGTTCGAACTATGGCCAATCTGCAGGTCTGTCAAATCCTTCAAGTCTTGGTGGACAGACTTGATGGGGCGACAGGACACTTGCGAACGGAGCAGGTACAAGGCATTTGTGCCTGCACAAAGTGGATGAGGTCTGAATGTTTGAACTTTTCTGAACTTTTCTTGGCGGACTTATTTTCTGAACTTCGAAAGGATGAGGGTCGGATAGATCGGCGTAGCTGTACTGCGCAAACAGACCTCTTTCCATGGCCAGGGCACCAAAAAAAAGTGCGTGCTCCGGAGGGTTGGGGGAATGTAGGCGGAATGTAGGCGAGGAATCTAGAAAATCAAGCTTTTTAGATGTAGGCGCAACTAAAGTAAACATACAGACAATGTAGGCGAAATGTAGGCGAATGTAGGCGGAGCAAACGCAAGCGCAGCTTCTGGTGGCTTTTTTGAGTTGCTTTGTTCCGCAGCACGGGAGCAAGCAAGCACAAATGGAGCAAGCAAGCCGGCCTGCACTGGAGATCAGGCTGCCTTCACAGATCCAACCCTCCGGCAAAGCATAAAATGTCATTTGGTCTCAAGGAGACTGCGCGTGGCAGATGTGTTGCTTTGGGAAGGTGAGTCAGCTGGCCAAATTGAGAACATTGTGGAAGGTGACCCTACATCCTTACCATATGGCAGTCTGTGGCGCAGACTGCATTGCAGATCTTGGTATAAACCCAAGATCAACAGCACATATTGCGTAGCAATGTGGTGGCGCTGGGATGATGACAAGAATCTCCTCCTGTGTTTGCACTGAAAACGTTTCGCAAGTCGAAAAAAAGGGAGTTCTTGCGTAAAATCAACGAATCAAAAAAATTATGATTGAAAAAGCCAAGGCCTACTTAAGTCCTACTTATAACCTAGGTTTTAACTCCGATAAGTCCACTTATGCATAAGTTCGATAGCTAAGTTATAACATCTACAAGTTAGTTACAAAAAGCCACAGCAAACTAGTAGCGATGGCCCCCAACCTACTAGCAATGGCCTTCAACCTACTAGCGATGGCCTCCAAC